TTTATTTTTATTTTTAAAGAAATTGAAAATTATAAAATTGTATAAAAATTGTTTGATTAAAATTTCTAAGAATTTCTTTTTAAAATTAAGTTAAGAAAATGCCTATTTTCAAAGAAAAGTATTTTATAATTCTCTAAAAAAAAAAATTATATATATATATATATATATATATATATATATATTTGAGTTCCGTAGAACTCTTTAGGAAACCTAACCAAACATACACTCAATTTTCTGTTTCATGTTAGCTAAAAAGTAAAAACTAATACAATAAAATGTTTAAACGAAAATTTCTGATTTTTTTTTTTTCAAAATTAGATAAAGAAAAAAAAAATTATTTTCAAATAATTGTCTTATATAGTTTTTTGAAATCAATTTTTCATTCTCCTAATTTTTAAAATTTTGAATCAAAAACTTATATATATATATATTGAGAGAGATATATTGAGAGAGAGTACTTGGATAAGAACTTATTAACACCTTTTATAATGATTACTAGATCAAACCTAAAGATCATATTCCAAACCAACATATCTCATTACCAAATATCACAAAATCAATCTCTACACGGACAAAGGTGCATGAGTGTATTTTATTATTTTTCGTATATATATATATATATATATATATATATCACCCATATAAAAATAAAAGGTAAATTACCAACACAAACTGAACCAAACAAATATATAATATATTATTATTTGCAGTGACATGACAGAGATTTTTTCCAGCACAATCAAAGCCCCTCTCTCCGTTGATAAAGTGTGTGTATATATATATATTGAAAGTGGACAGTTCACCAACGACTCACCGCACACGTGTGGGAATAACTTTACCGACTCTTGTCGTGTGAACAGAAAGAGAGCCAAACACCTTCCAAGACTGAAGGGAGGAAAGGAATATCAAAGTCACACCCAATCTCAACTCAACCCAATGGACCACAATACCTTCCAATGTTGAAGGTAGGAGAACCAAAGTCACACCCAATCTCTCTCTTCAACTATATATATATATATATATACTTATTATTAGTAGAATTAATAATATACTTATTTTCAACGCAACAATGTGAAATGCTTTACGTTTAAGTTGAATTAATATGTGTAAGCATGTTTGTTTATAGGGAAATGATACTTACGTTGATTTGTTGCAGTAAATTATTTAAATGAATATATATATATATATATATATATATATATATATATATATAGATTTGGATTTAATTTATTAAAATTACAAGAAATATGATATACATATAGGGTTAAAATCGTAAAACCCCTTCTATTATGTCAAAATTATCATATACCCTTCTGTAAAATCAAATAACCCTCTTAATATTAAAAAAATTATGCACCCTAGCCGTTAAGTGAGGGTTAAATGACCAAATTGACCGAGCCGTTGTGTTTGCTATGCACTTGATGATTGTATGTATTTTAAGAGGGCAGTTTGGTTAATACGTGATTAGCAGGGTAGATCGATTAAATGGTTGCATGTGAGAGTCACGTGCTTTTCTCCCATTAGTTTCATACGGCAAACTAATTGGATGGGATGATGTGATACACTAAATGTTAAGGAAGGAGTATGATTGCTTATTTGATAATTTTTGCATAGTACAGGGGATTTTTAATTTTAACCCTATACATACACACACATAGATATATATATAATATCTGCAAATAACGCAGCACACTCATTTTATTCCCACGAATAATAGAGGTAATATTTTGAAAAAAAAAAAAAAAAAATTACTAAGGGGGAGGATATTTAGAATTCTAGTAGAAAAATTGACACTTATTTTAAATTCATAGATCAGGAGAGGGAGATTGACTTTGAGCTTTTCATAAAGTGTCAACATCTTCTTCTTTTTATTAAATTTATTATTATAAGTTTGGTAACTTTCACTTAAAAGTGGATAGTGATAATATATATTTATTTTTTTAAATAGATTTGATATTAGACATTATATTCTTAAGATTTTCTTTAAAGTGCTAACATAATTTTCTTTATTAATATGTTTACCGACATTCATTCAAAGATAACATGTCAATGTTGCTCGAACGTGAATCACATATCTCAAGATTCAATCCTGATTTAATCAATATTTGTGGTCCGAAAGTAATTATAGATATTTTTTAATTTACATTGTAACCACACGTCCAAAGAACACTTGATTGGAAATACTCCACCTCATGAAAAAAAAAAAAAAACATTTATTTGAACATGATAAAGTTAGCTCTAGTTTGGTATAGCGAATGAAATAAGGTAAGAATAGAATAAACAAAAGAAGGGAATGGAAATGAAATGAGAAGGGAATGACCATTCCCATTCTCTCATTTGGTTATGCATGATTTAAACAGTAAAACTAATTTATATATATGTAAATTATATATATATATATATATATATATATGCGTAAATATATATTTTCGATGTATATTTAGAAATTGAAGAGGGAATATTAAGAAAAAGTTGCCTTTTATTGAATCTATCTCATTGACATGAAAATTTACTCTCATTTTTTTAATCAAGAAATCTCAACGACATGCATATCTCTCGTCAACATATGTCAATGCTTTATCATTGATCACTGTATATGGATGCAAATCGCCGGCTTATTGGTCGTCAATCGACTTCAACGGCTAATTTTGCGCTGATTTCGGATTCATTGTTGATCGCCTTCAATGTCGATTTCTAATGCAAACTGACGAGGCTTGAGTTGTTTGAAAATAGTGTGTTAACAATTACATAATTCAAGCAAAGCGATTTTTAATATTATTTTTACTCAGTATTTTTTAAGTGGGAATGAAATACCCATTCCTCTTAAAATTATTGAAAAGTTGAATGATTTTGATAGAATGACCATTCTCCAAGAAAGGTGGAGAATGGATATTCCATCTTTAAAATTATTTTTCGAACACAAGAATAGAATTAAAAGTATTCAATTCCACTATATTTCATTCCATTCCCACCTACCAAACTAGCCCTTAGGGTATGTTTGGTACGCATTTTGTTTTTGGTATTTTTTATTTTTGTCAAGTATGTACCAATGAATTTCTTGAGTAGTGGCAAAAAATTCAAACACCAATTTGGTGTTTTTATATTATTTCATACTGAAGCGATGAACTAGTAAATTTCTTTTTGAAAAACTCTTAAATGACTTATTTTAACTAACCATTATATTTTTCATACTCGCAACATTTTTTATATTTTTGTTTTAAAAAATCTTGTAAAAAATGTATGTTATTAAATATATTTTTAATTACTATTCAAAATACTTATTTTATTTTAAGCTAAAACAAAAGGCTTGCCAAAGCCGGTGTTAGGATTTTTTTGTTAGAGTGGTGAAAAAATTGTAGCAAGCTTAATGTATAAAAAATATAAGAAAAGGGTAAGATAGGGAATGATAAAGGGTCCCCCAAAATTCCCCACCATCCGACCAGCGTAGGCTGTGACTTTGGTCCAATCCATCTAAATTCCTCTTTTTTGACTTAATCCATTATCCCCGCAAACAAAGCCTCCATTAAATGAACCTCACCTCCACCGTCCGTTTGTCGTTTCTCGGACTTCTAGTGTTTTAGTAATTTCGTGCAAAAAAAAAAAAAAAAAGCTAAATAAATAATTATTATTATTTCCGAAATTTGTAAATTCTCATATAATTAAGAACAATAAGAGGATGATGCAATTGGTTGTTGTCGGATGTGTAAAAATGGAATGGTGCAATTGGTTGTTGTCGGATGTGTAAAAATGGAATGATGCAATTGGTCTCTTGGAATAAATTTAGGGGGGGTATATTCCATATCATCTCATTGTACCAACAAAAAAAAAAAAAAAAAAACACCTTTAAAATTTAATTTGATACAAATAAATCATTCTGACAAATTTATTATCATTTTATAAAATATATAAAAATAAATAATTTTGTAAAATAATCGAAAAAGACATTATTGGAGAATGCCTCTAATATGCAAAAATCACAAGATGCATCTGATATGCCAAAAACACCCCTAAAGTTTTAATTTGGTGCAAATAGATTCGTCTGACAAATTTAAATCCCAAATTAACTAAATTACCCTGAATCATTTTATAAAATATATATAAATAAATAATTTTATAAAATGGCCAAAAAATAATACAATTGGAGAATGCCGAAAATGGACAAGTAAAGATAAATATATATATATAAAGTAAAGATAAATATAGAAAATAAAAAACAAAAATAAAGTGCAAACTAAAGAAAACAAATCTGGTCCAAGCTCCGAAAATCAGTGCACACTGCTGTTGGGATTTTTTATTTATTTTTTATTTTTTATTTTTGTTTAACAATGTTGGTACAAAAATAAAATAAAATAAAATAAAGAAAAACAAATTTTAGTATAAAAGAGTAAACTGAAATCTCAAAAAATTCAAATCATTATTCTTCAAATTCTCAAAGTCTGAAAAAAAAATTGTTTAAAAATATATATAGAGAAAAAAGTTTCAAATATATATATATATATATATAAGGTACTATGCACATAACACCCCTATTTATGTCCAAGGGGTATTTTTGTACAATGTGAAGATTAGAAGCGTTTTTTGCAAACTTTTTCAAGTAGAGGGTAAAAGTGTTATGCTAAGTATACTTTAGGATTTTTCTGCACTTGTCATAATAAAAAAAAATATTTTAATATTTTATCAATACAATGGTCAAAAAATTAAGATATATTAGGCATTTGATAACACATTATAACAAGTACTTTTCACAAATAAATTATTTTAAAATTTATTTAGTAACAATATTTTTTTAAAACACTTATATGGCAAATTTTATAATAATATTCTTTAATAAGACGTTACCATATTTAATAATAGCAACTTTAATAAGAATGAGTGTAATTGTTTTTGTAAAAAAATAAAAAGGATAAAATTATCTGAGAGCTACCCAAAATATTCAACATATACTCCCAATTCATCCAAACGTAACTTTTTAAAATAAAAATACTTTTAAGCACACTACAGAAGCAATCTCAAACGGAGTATAATGAAAATTAAGTTGCAATGAGGGTTCAATATAGAGTATTGTTAGGTTATCATGAAAACAAATTTGGTACAAGCATTAATGAGGTTATGGAGTTCTTACTCATCTAATGGAGGAATGCTGCTTGGACTTTGATTGTCTTGGTGTAGCCAATCAATTCTTTTTCTCCCCCCTCTTCCTTCCCTTTCCCTCCTCAACTCTTACAAACAGCTCTGGTTCTCTCTCCGCGGAATTCTTGAGGGCATACGATCCAACAAATATTCAAAATTGTCTCAAATAATAGTAGTATATGCATAGGAAATTCTAGCCATCATTTATAGCTAAAAGATGGAAATACAATATACAATTCTGGTTTATTGAAAGCATAAAATTCAACACATAACTCCTATCATGTTGTTAAACGGCCCCTCTTCTTGCATCATAAATTAAACATTCTGCTGTTTATTATAAATATAAAAGAACCAAATCAGTAAGACCTACAAAATCAATCTGTAATAATAAAAAAATTGAGCTAAAGACAAACTGTATCAAAATTTGAAAAAAAATATTGGACATTAACTCACCTATTCTACAACCTTTGCTCTACCGGTCGTACCCACGTGGTGGTGGCCTTCTACTTCCTCCCCTACCCAAAGCTGAGAACTGATTGCCTCCCCGTTGAGGCCGATGATCATACCCTTCACTGACACTCTGGTTTGCCTGTGGGGGCCGGGTACTACCACCCCACTGATGATGGCTGGCAGCTCCATATGATTGGTACCTCCCAAAACTGTTGTTAGATTGAACTGGATGCGGTGGAGGGGTATGAGAAGGGTACCTATTACTAACATTTTGCTGGAATCCTGGTGGAGGGGCATGCAAAGGATACTCTCCACTCTCGGTAGAATATTGGTCATTCCTCTCATACTGATGATGTTGCCTAATGTACGGATCATGGGCAGCAGATGAAGCATATGGTTGAACATATATATGGTTAAAGTGATTCTGCACATTAGTGGGATTTGATGACCAGTATTGACCACGTGCACTTTGAGAAGAAGGGTAGCCTGTTCCAGGCGGAACCATCCCGTAATATTCCTGACCAAGGTATGTGTTATTTTGGTACGAGGACAAAGGTGGTCCATGTGCGGTAGCGGCATAGGATGGGGATGAAGTATACATATGATCACCATAACCATTTCGATCTGCTCTTAACTGTAAGCTGTTAGCCACAAGTCGGTGTGCAGCCTCCCCGAGTTGCTGGCCAGAAACAGCTCTAGGGGGGTTTCGCCTGAGGGAAGAAACCCCAAAGACAAAATAGCTTAATAATATTCCACGAAAACAACAGAGGATAATAGGAGAACAATAACATATATAAAGGATTGAATCAGCCTACTACAATAAGCTGATGAAACAAAACGAAGATTTACAATACCTTCCATTTTCCCAAGGCTTCCTTGTATCCTCATGCCATAAAGCAGGCTCAGGTTTTAGATCCCTGACCGTAACAATCTGTAAATAGTTCAAAAGGTATACAAGTTAATACAACATAAGATAAGTTAGAATAACAATGTCAGGCCCCACAAATAAACCCCACAAAGCCATTCTAAATTTCCAGTGAAACAATACATGACTTGAGGTCACGCAAAACAAACCAGTTCAAATTAATTACTGGAAAAAATGGAAAAAGAAAAATGAATGTATGCCAAAGACGCACCAAAAGGTCGCATGTAGATTGATGAATTTGCAAGGAGCAGATTTGGAATCGAAATTCATAAATACATGGGATGATCGACTACAAGAAATAGATTGAGAGAGAAGAGGGGGAGAGAAGGTAGGGATGAAAAAAATACCCCAACCAGCCGGGTTAACCAAAACTAATAGACTAACTAGAACTGTGTAATTATCAATTTATCATTGTTTTCTTAGCAACACTGTAGTATAAATTAATAATTGTAACCAAAACTTACAAGCTATATATGCCTGCACATAGTTTATGTAAGAATCTGTGCAGGCACGTTTGATTGTCTATAGCATATATGTACCTCTACAACAAAACTTACACTTGCTCCCTTTATGTAAAATGTAAATAGAATTTACAAGAATCTAACTAGGAAGAAGCTAATTAAAGCTTAATCTCAAAAAATAAAATAGCTTGGGATCAGCTCATTCAAAGCTCGGCTCGAGCTCGTTCATCAAGTTATGGAGCCGAACTGGAGCTCGATTTTTGATAAACATTGTTAGGCACGACTCCTCTAAGACCGTGAAAGCTAAGCTCGTGAAGGCTTGTCATGAACATAGGCAGGCTCACGAACACATTCATAGACATAGGCTTGTGTAGACTTTTACTAGTTCATGAACATATGTTCGTGAATATAGGCAAGTGTAGACTCATATAAGTTCATGGAGGTGGCAAAGCGATCTTGAACACGAGCTAAAATTGAGCCAGAACGACTTTTGTTATTAAACAAGCCGAACCTGAGCTCAACTTTTTGAGCTTGTCACGCTCCCAAGCAAAGCCAGAGTTCCCACAAATGCACAAGTCACGTACAAACCTACTGAAGCTCAACTTGGCTCGGCTCATTTGCAGCCCTGTCCCTCTCTACTTTGATTATTACCCAATCCATTCTAGGTGATTCATATCATCAATCTACAACATCTTTTCTGCTCCTGTATAAGCTTCAGATCCAAGTTGTTAATTGACGTTCACTTGCAAAAATGAAACTACTAAGGAACATTAGGCTCCAAGTCGCCAATATTAGTGTATTTACAAGAACCATACTACCAAGTATTACTTGGCTTCTGTCAAGTATCAGTTAATGGACATGACAGCAAATAAAAAATATTTGGCTGAAAAATAATGTAGAAGAAAAGGTTTTATCACCAAGAACGAAACTATCAGTCATAATGTTTGCTTTAGAAGTTCATTTCCAAGTAAATAATGAGCATGAATTGAGTCATAACATTATCCATAGGAACTTCAAAGAGTTAATAAGCATGATGATAAAATGAGCATAAGATGACAAATTTAGACATGTTTACATCTAAGAAAATAAGATATCAATATGGTTGTGCTATGTACAGAAATGACCAACAGCTACATGAATGTGAGGCATAGTTCAAATCAAATGTGTTGCAAAGACAAGAGAAAGATCCAAAATGATAACTAGAGGTAGAAGATAAGGCATGTAGGTTCCCAGTCCAACCAAAAGTAAAGCCCTGACTGAAGTAAATTGGAGAAACAGAATCCATGAAGTCAGCTATAAAATATTTCGGACAATGGGTTTGTCGGATTTTTTTTTTCCTATTCATCTCAATACACGGTGCAAACACAAATATTGAATCACTGAAAGGGAGAAGAACCAACTTAAAAACACAACTTAAACATACAACATCTCCTTTTTAAATGAGTGATGCAAACACAAATATTGAATCACTCAAGGGAAAAGAACCAACTTATCAACACAAGTTAAAATGATTCAAATGAGTGTAACATACACCATCTACTTTTTATTCTCTTAAGATATCCACCGCATTTAGAAAAGAAGAATAGCGTGACATTACAGTTTTCTGACACGCTGAAATAAGACACCTAAATTATGTACCAATCAGAATTAAAAAAGTTGACTAAAAAGAGGCCTCAAACATGCCAAACAAACACAACAAATTTAGTGATTCATGGTGAACTATAATTAATAAAAGGTTAGGGAACTTGAGTCACACCATATAGTTTGAAACAAGAGCCATTTTTACCATTCTCTATGATTCTAACATTGAAACATTGGTTGACTTTTTTTCTTCCATTAACCTCGATTTACTATAGACTATGCACCGGTAACTACGTAGACAGTCTTCATAAAAACAAGGGTAAATTACAAATCCACTCAAGTAGCCACCCTACGTGATGAATTCAAATTCCAGAAAACAAATTGGCCATTGTATAAGAAATCCCACCGACAACGTAAGAAATTAAATTAGTCACAAAATACCTTCTTTGGGATAACAACTCCTGCAGGTGGCCGAGTGATATGTTTATGAGCATCTGGAAGTGTGTATATAGCACATCTGAAGAACAAATGGGTAACAGATGAAATTAAATCATAATACTAATAATAAGAAGTCATGAATGCATTATGATTTCAAAAGATTATAATGAGGGTTTGGAAACATACATGACTTGATTGTCCATAATGTCTTCCATTCCCGTAACAGGTGATCTAAAAATTGGTGGGCAAGGATCTCCGGCACACAGGGATATATAACCATTCATTCCACCACTGCACATAGCCCTAAATAAAATCAGAAAATAGCCCAAACAATCAAAAGAAATTACAATGTGATTTGCATTGAATTATTTTCATCATCAACTTGGAATTGTAATAAGGTCCTTAGGTTATATATTGGGTCATGTTATAAGGTTCTTATTTGTAGATTTTAGTAGGGTTAGATTAGATGTTGTGACTTATCAAAAAAAATAAATACATGTTGCAATCAAATCAGTAGTTTCTTAAATTGGAAGCCAAGTCCTGCTAGAGTCAGGCATACGAAAAACCCTTGTCTTAAATTCAGCACATGTATGTAAGACTATCTATTTCTTTCCAGCAAACAACACACAATAAATTATTTAGGATACTAGGACTTATAGGCCCAATTGTGGTGAATTGGCGTTGCATGTGCCAAAGGGCAGGGGAGTCGATGAATCACCTCCTTCATTGTTCGATGGCGAGATATGTTTGGTCTATGTTTTTTTATTGCTTTAAGTATGTGTTGGATGTTCCCCAGGTCCACGTTGGACATGATTGAGGCTTGGAGAGGGTGTATAGTAGAGAGTCAAGCTAGAAATGCATGGAAGGCCACTCCCCTTTGTTTATGGTGGGGCTCGTGGCGTGCGAGAAATAGGAGATCCTTTTGATGGCGAGGAGAACCCTATTTGGTCTCTTAAATACACTATTTTGAGTTCTTTATTCTTTTGGTTAGATGGGTGAAAATGTAAATCTGTGGGGGAAATTGTGGATTTTGTTGGTAGTTCAAGACAATAGTCGGCCGTGTTTGGCTTTTTTGTTACAGCAACAACAACAATAATAAAAAGAACAAAAATAAAATCAATTCACATTTTAAAAATTTAGTAGAAAATTCGAGGATTTCAGAAAAAAATATATATATTTATAGGAGATTGGATATTTCCAGATAATGTGGTGAACTAGTGGAGGGGGCAGGAAAAATCTAATTACCATTTAATTACTACTGCTATTGCCCAAAAAAAAAAAATGAAGTATATAAATTCTAAAAAATTATAATACCTCATGCTACCATGAAAGAAAAACTGTTGCAGGTGCTAAGAATTGATAGACACCCTCTTTAATGACCGAAATTCCACTAACTTAAATAGACTATGCAAGAGGTAATTTGGTAAAAAAAAAAATACTTAGTTAATTGATAGTGGCACAAGGCTAAGTAAAACCTAAATAAATGATCATTGTTTGTCGGTGTGGAGAGGGGGACGGAGGTTGGGCTTCTAGGGAGGTGGGTTCCCCAGCGAGGGTGGGCATTTGGAAGTTTATCCTGAAGGGGTGGGATGAGTTTTCCAACCACATTCGATTCAGAGTCAGGAGTGGGAGGCATGTTAGATTTTTGGAGGACCTCTGGTGCGGTAATTTGGTGTTGGCCTGAAGATTCCATCAGCTGTTCAGGATCTCTATGAAGTATGAAGAGGCATGCTCTAGTGGCAGACTGTTATTGGCCCGATAATGGTAGATTGACTTAGGACATTCAGTTCCGTCGAGAGTTTCACGACTGGGAATTTTTGGAGGTCCTTGATATCTTTGTGATGCACTACAGTCAGGTGGCTGAGGGTGAAGGCATGGATGAGATGGTGTGGGTGGGATCCCCTAGAAGGATTTTTGAGGTCAAGGCCTTCTACCGGTTACTGTCGGAGGCCCCGGGCCAAGCTTTTCCATAGAAGGCTATTTGGAGGACAAAAGTCCCCTTGAAGGTGGCATTTTTTTCTTGGTTGGCTGCCCTAAGAAGCATTCTCACTATCGATAATCTTAGAAGGAGAAGGCACATTGCTGTCAACTGGTGTTGCATGTGTAAGAAGTTGGGCGAGTCAGTTAATCACCTCCTCCAAATGCGTGGAGGGCCACTCCCCTCTGTTTATGGTGGTGTTTGTGGCGTGACAGGAATAGGAGATCCTTTAATGGAGAGGAGTCACCTATTTGGTCTCTCAAATACAACATACTTTCTTCTTTATTCTTTTGGGTCAATGGGACAAATTGTAAAGCTTTAGATCATCTTTTGTAGTTTATGGATAGCTTGGAATTATAGTGTCGCCTTGGGCGTCTTTGTACTTCTTAGGTCGCTCCCCTTTTGAGCGTCTTTTAATGAAATATTACTTATAAAAATATATATATATATATTAATTATTCCAACCCAATTCCCAATCAAGGGAAACGAGCACCATCGATATAAATAACTTGTGGAATATTACGGTACAGATGCTCAACCCACACGCACTGATGCACAGGTATCTACAAATGGTCCGAGTTTAGAGCTCAGGTGAGGAGTCAAATCTGATTTTAAGTGAACCCTCTATCAATATGGGAATATGACCAAGTCTAGTTTTTTTTTTTTTTAAATTATAAAATTCATCACCAAATTCTAAGTAGATACCTTTAGTGACCAGAGAAAGATACTAAATCAATTTTAGACAACACCGACTTTCTAATCAACTATGATACTAGAATGAATATATGCTCAAAAATAGCATTCACGAGGTTGGATTATAATAATCAATTAATCATTTTACCTAAATGATTATGAAGTCCACCTCGCTAAATTAAAAGGATTTAATGGTAAAGTATAAAATAGAAAATCAAGAAGACATGAATGGCTTAACTTTGATGACAAAATGAAGCATAAGTTATTAAGGCACATGATGATCTACATGGATAGATATATAGCACAATTGGGTGATTCTCCACAACTAGTTTTAAGTTTAGACTTTTAGACGAAATAACTAAGGACACCATACTAAGATGAGTAAATGAATTAACTAATAATGTACACCATATTCTACTGAATATTGTTGAAATTCTCCATTATTAGTACTCCTTTTGTTGGGTACTTGGGAGAAATTGTAAATCCTTGGAGAAACTTGTAGATCTTTTGGAGTCTTTGAGGGTTTAGAGGCCCTATTTGGCCTTGTGTAGCTTTTGAGGGACACGTCCCCCTTTTGAACGCTTTTTATTCAATCTTTACTTATAAAAAATTAATAAAAAATCATGGCTACAAAGCAAACAAGGGGGGGAAGGGGCGAACACTCGGAACAAAGAAAGGGGGAAAGCGGGTCAGAACCTCCAAAATAAACGAAGGACTTCATTCAGTGACCCGCACTTCTCTTCAATAAAGTTATCTACGCACCTCTCTTTAATGACGGAATGCCCACACTTATAGTGACAGTACATCCGCTCTTTTAATGAGTGACTTTATATCCAAACTCGTGTTGGACTAGTCCTTTTGTTGTCCATTGGAAACTAAGAGAGCCCATTAGGCAAGCATGCCATTATTGTAACAACAGGGACCATTGTTAAGCTAAACAAGGAAATATCACTATGGAGGTTAAAAGACTCTAATGTGAATTGATGTAAGCATGTGGGACAGCAGAACCCTTTTTCTCCTTGTAAGGGACAGAAGCCCTAACGGAAACCTACCCCCCCAAATTAGTAAATATAGTAAGTAACGCTGAGTTCCGCCCGTACTGCCATTACTGCCTGGAAGCATTGCAGAACAAGGATTACAGTGATGGTGATAATTGAACTAGAAATTAAGATAGTTGATGTTACTCCTATTATTTTTATGAGAGAATTATTAATATCATTGAATTATCATAAAAGTTATTATAAAAGCTGAATAATTGATATCGTTGAGTTATGAATATTGTTTACGACTGATATATTCTTTATTTTATATAGCTGTGAGCTCACCACATTTTTTTAACATTTCAAGTAAATACACAGGTCGAAGATTTGACCACATTTTTTAGAGCATAGATTAAAAGATTCAGTCTATTTCAGCTTGTTTTCCATTCAAGTTAAAGAGTTTTATGCAGTGAGGAACAATTGTATTCTATTTTGAGAGATTGAGATGAGTTATTACTACGGTTTTCATCAAGTTAAGAATGGAAGTTTGTTTTATTATTACCCTTATGTATTTTAATTTGAAATTGAGTCGTTATTTTGTTATTGCTTAGAAAATTTAAATCTGCCATTAAATGTGGTGATGTATTAAATCCATTGCATTGTCAATTTTCTTGGTTCAAGCACCAGATTTTGGAGGACAATTTCTCTTGACCTCAGATTGGCATGATATCCTCAAATATAAAAGGCAAACCCTCACTGAAATTTGAAAGCTTAAATTATTTAACGAAATAATCAAACCTAGCATTGCATCACAAACCTGGCCCTTGGATCAAGTTTCTCCTTAACCTTAGTTCGCTCTCTGTCTGACAGATGCTTACAACGATCATTGAGAGAAAATACGTATGGAGAGAGGGTGTGAGACAATGCCACAAAAAGCATGTCAGACATCACACTATTTCTCCGCACTTCTTCCTCCTGCAGAGAATAACGGTACTTAATAAGAGAGAATGATATTCATCTTGCACAAGAACCCAGGAGCTGAGCATTCTCAGAAGCCGACTTCATATAACCATACCGTCAATGTATGCTCAATCTTTTCAACCTCTGCAAGAAGGCGAGCTTCCTCGATGAAAGGCAATTTGGCAATACCCTTCAGGATAATGAGCAGACAGGAGAAATGTCATAAGGTTTCCGTGAAAATAAAACAGAAACTCCTCATAAGCCAGCATGTTGATAGAATAAAATCAAGATGCTATACAGATGAAACGAACCTGCCAAGAGTACCTCTTGCCATTCATGTCCACTTCAAAATCTGACAGGCAGAACAAAAGTAAATAATAAAATAATATCTTGCGGTTGAACTCATAAAATAAGAATGCTTAATTTGGACAAGCACTACACGTACCACTTGGATAGAAATCGATAAGAGGTGAGTTGGGATCTGTCATCAATTTCCTATAGTGCACAGGAAGGGCATGGGAACTGCAAATAAACACACAGTTAGAACCCTTCATGTAATCAACATTTTAGAAGAAAAGAAAAAGTGGCTAGAGCGACCTTGCAGCTGGGAAAACCCCCAACAGCTGATTGAACGGTTTGAACGGACAACCAAGTTCAAAGCTTATATTCAACTGTCCAAGATCCTTGAGATCGGAAGCAAATGGGGCATAATGATAAGGATAAAACCTGTAAGAAAAAGAATTCATGTTCCATGAAGTACAAAGAATATGGAAGCCAAAAATTTTTACACCTCAATCAAGTACAAAAACACCTTTAGGTAGATGAACTTGTACACACAGATAAATATGAAGAGGCACTAAGGTCATACTAAACTATTTGGAATAATGTTATAAATGTAAGCACTTTGTGCTGGAAAAGAGAGAATCTCTAAATCTGGATCGCCAAACCAGTGTGAGAAGAATTCGTGCATATATGCAAGCAAAGCAACATACAAAGTTAAATCATTTATGAAAGAAATACAAGAGCATTGTACAATAACCCATGGAGTGTCAAGTCCAATGTACGCCAACTACTGGAGCTTTGAATGTTTAGATGTCACCATGCAAAAAAGATTCTTGAAATCAAGCATAGAAGCCAATGGCCTCATCATTCACAAAGAAATACTAATATATTTCCTTGTGTGTTGAATAGAGACAAAAGCATGTTTGTCTTAGTGTTTGTGTGGGTAGGTGGGTGGGTAAGGGAGAGAGAGGTTTAATAGCAACTAATAAGAAGTAAAAAAAAATGTTGCTCAAAGGCAGGAGAAAAGATATACCACTGCCAGGAACAAACCCCTTCATAGTAATAGTGCATAACCCAACATAAGCCCTCTGTGTACCTCAAAACCTACCAAGGGAAAAGACCGAAATTTTTGTAAGAAAATCCATTATTGCAACTACGAAACTACAACCCATTATAGCTAAAACATGAGCGTGGAACAATCAATCAGAAACCCTTCAAATAAATAACTTGAAACCAATCATGAAATAGAATCACTACAAAGCACAGGCCATGTCCAGATATTAAAATCTCCTAAAATTCCTAATAATACCATTAGCCCTGCAAGGCTGAAACCAAAGTTTCTTTCAAGTAGCACTAACAGGTCTAATCTCATACAATCTAATTTACAAATAACACCTGCATGTTGCAACAAATATGTAAAAAAATAAAATTAACTGGGGATAAAATCACATCTACATGTTGCATCTAATTTCCATTTAATTGCTTTAGATTGCATTCCTAATTTACAGCAAAAAGCTGGAGGCAACTCCAATGAGCTCATTCAGTCTCAAATTAGAAAATGCTGGTCAAAAGGATTGTTCAGCCTATCTCTGGCAAGGAGGACGAGTTTATGCAATTGAAAATAAATCCTGGAGACTCCAATGACTTCTATGAAAAATGGATACTTCCAAAATATGGACCCCAATCAGCGTGTATACTTATTGTCAGCAATAACAGTGATCGTGGCTCGCGTGTCAGCAGTGATAGTAGTGGTAACTATGCTGGTGCCTTCACCACGTAACAGTGATGTGGCAGTGAGTTATACAATAATGACTAGTACCAGAAGTCAATTTCTTTCAAAATAACACTACTTAGAGATGTATTTTTAAACTCATTTTCCACAAATGCACTCATGACATCTAAATTCTAATGCATATTTTAGAAATCGTTTTCCAATAATGCGCTCACAACTCTATTAACCGCCCATCTTTCGGTCAAAGATGGCACTTTAAAGCTACAAATCAAAAAGGAGTGGGGTGAACCGATTTAACCGTCTAAAAGAGGAGCTTCTCATTGATAGTATTGTCATCCTTTTACCCATATCGACAACATAACCTATCTTACTATATTAAGCTGTACCTGCATGAATATATTAACTTAACAATATCAAAATATTTTTTTCTTGGAACATACATTTGCAAGCATGCATTCAGTGAAGAAAGGTTCAATCCTTGCCACACAGATATTAAGGTGATTAGCCCACGGAACATTTAAGGCCATGAAATTAACTATTTAATAATATTTTACTTATAAAAATAAAAAAAAATAAAAATAAAAAGCCATGAAATTAACTACAATTCCAATAATAAAATGGCAAAGAGAATAGTTACAAGTTGGTGGGCTGGCTATGAGGTGAGGGGAAGTCCGAGTTTTATTTTGTTCAATAAACTCCGATGGCTGAAGATAGATATCAAGAAGTGGACTAGGGAGGTGCTTGGCAATTTGGAGTGGCACAAAACCAGGCTTATAATGGAGATTTCTAAGCTAGATCGCAAAGAAGAGGTGGTAGAGATGGATAATGTGGCTTTTTGTTGGACGGAGGACTGTAAGGAAGAGTTTGGCCAGATTGCTTCATTGGAGGAAAAATCTTAGTGGCAAAAGTCTAGGGCATTGTGTCTCAAGGGGATCAGAATATGAAATTCTTCCATTGGATGGCTAATGCCCATTGAAGGGGGAATCATATAGGAAGAATTCGTATTGATTGTAACTTGTTGAGCAAAGAAGAGGACATTAAGAGAGGAATTGTTTCATTCTATCAGCAGTTGTATGCAGAATCCTCTCATTGGAGATGTTGGCCCAAAAGCTTAGAGTTAGACAGCATCTCAGCAAAAAAATAGAGATTGACGGGAATGGCCTTTTACAAAGATGAGGAGATAAAATTGAGGATACGCAAAGGTGATAAGGCACCGGATCCAGATAGTTTCACCAGGTCATTTTTCATCAAATGTGAGAGGTGGTTAAGAAAGAGGCGATGGACTCGATCAACTTCTTCCATGAGCATGGGCAGTTTATGAGGAGTTTGAATTGCGTCCTTCATTGATCTCATCCCCAAAAAAGGAAGGAGCTACAGAGGCCAAGGACTTTCAACTAATTAGTTTGGTGGGTAGCATAAATAAGATTATTGCCAATGTCCATGTCTTGCGATTAAAAAGAGATTGATGAAGTGATCTTGGATTCTCAAAATGCTTTTGTTGGAGTGCATCAGATTTTGGATTTGGTTTTATTTGCCAGCAAGCGTGTGGGGTTCAAAGTCCAAAGTGGGGTGTCAGGGATAGTTTGCAAGCTCAATATTGAGCAAGCTGCATTTCTACAGTGATTCTAAATTTTGGTGAGGAGCGAGGCTGGAGAAGATGGTACAATTTTGAACCTTATTGTACCGTCAAAGTGGAGGAGTGGGGGCTTGATGAGTGGATTTGTGTAGGCTCCTGGCACGGGGGCTTAGGTGCGTTCTTTTTATCAGTCTTTCGGATTCACAGGGGTCCTCATTCCCTTGGAAGGCAATTTAGTAAATAAAAGCCCCTTTAAAAGTCGTTTGCTTTTGCGTGGTCGGCAACCTTAGAGAAGATCTTGTCTAAATTCATAGATTGAGGAAGAGGCACAAATTCTGGTGAATTGGTGATGGATGTGCAAAGAGGATAAGAAGTTCGTGAATCATCTTCTTTTGCATTATTCAGTGGCAACGAATGTTCAGGCTATGTTTTTTGTTATTTTTGGTGTTCATTGGGTTTTACCGGTTTCCACGATGGCCATGACTGAGGCATGGAGAGGTTGTATAGTAGGTAGCCAAGCCCGAGATGCTTGGAGGGCAACCTGTCTTTGTATTGTGGTAGGGTTTGTGGTAAGAGAGAATAGGGCATCCTTTGATGGGGGAGGAGACTCCCATTTGGGGGTAAAAAATTCCATATTGAGTTCTCTATTTTTCATGGGTGGAACTGTAAATCTTTAGAGGACTGTAGAATTTGTGGACATCTTGGAAGTATAGTAGGTCTTTTATTCAACTTTTGTGTAAAATTTTACATATAAAAATTTAAAAAAAATTAAACCATGAGACATGCAAAAACTGCCAACAAGAACTTCATGAAAATTGATAAATTATTATAATAATAAAATAAAAAAGGACATCATGAAAGAACCAGCTCACTAAAAGAAAAGCTTCTTTTAAATAAAAATGCATAGCTCAAATTATAGCAAATCGATTCGCCAAATTAGACAACTAAATAAGCCACTCAAATTATGCACCTGGATTTGAGTCACCATCAGTTTTACTCAGCCAATCCCAATTCAAACGTCTTACCCAACCCAACGACAACTTAAGTTACATGGACTTTTCTAAATGCATACCATAATCATGTGCCCAACATGTCTAGTTGAAATTGGGCATTGCATTCAGCAAGCAAAGCTTTGTTAATCGTCCTTAGGCCATTGAATTTAGATATTTGATAAATCCAACGCTTAAGCACATGCATACATATATATACACATACATTCAACACACAAACTCAATACATCTAATATAGAAGATAGCCACATTTACTAATATTTCTTAAATAAATGTTCAAAAAAAAACAGAATATAATGACCATTTATTTTCTTTTCAATCTCAGGGACAAAAGACAAAAGGGTGATGAACACAGAATTGACCCAAACCAGCCCCATTCCATAATAATGAAGTTCTTTTATACATTTATTAATCATCAACGGTAGTTAAGTTCAAATAACTTACAACATCTTTCCGTATTCTTTCAAGTTCCTCGAGGGTTTTCGCAGGGAACTTTTCTTCATAATATCTCTCTTTCCACCCCGGCTCTCCCAATTTGACCTAATAAAATGAAAATAGTAAAATGAACACTCAAGATGAATCATATGAGCAGCATGAAATTTGAAATTTGCCTCATTTAGCAATCAGAATTCTAACAGATGTAGTCCAAAAGAAAAAGAAAGTTCGATATGAGAAGCAATAATGGAAGGCTGATTTATTAATACATTGGGATACTAAAAAAAAGTATTCAATCGTAGGGACAATAAAATGCTTGCAGTTGTCAATAATTGTGCTATACGCGCATAAACTCATCCACAAGCTTGCACATATCTCAACATAACCAAGTTATGCTCCATGTTTCCATTAGTTCCAACTCTTTAATAAAAAAATTATACTAGTACTTTTCTCATATGTGTTTTTAATCATGTAAAGAGTTAAAATGGCATTTTTCTATTGTACAAATAAGCATTCCAATTTCTTGTTGATCTATATAAACTTCAAATGAACATCTGGTTCTAAATAAAAATACAAGTCTATAACGGCATTTTTCTATTGTACAAATAAGCATTCAATTTCCGGTTGATCTATATAAACTTCAAAAGAACATCTGGTTCTAAAGAAAAATACAAGTCTATAACATTATAACTATTTCATTTTGAATCACTCACTTGCTCTTTCCTTTAGCTGGCCTTCAATTATGAGGAGCTTTAATTCAGTGATCGATAATTTGACATTGATTTCCATTACTAAATAAATCTTAAAATACCATCCTAAGCCTATAAGAGGAACAACACTAACACTCCAACACCACCACAAGCACATAGGGAGAAAAAAATTATTATAAAACCAATTTACAGCATTTGTGTGCACAGACCTTGTCTTCCTCTGGGTTCTCACAGTTAAACATGTCGGACTTCTCACGAAGTAAATCCTTTAGCTTTGCTTTCATTTCTTCTCTGTTTTCATGTTCTTGAGACTGAGATCAGAAAGAGAGAACATAGAACTTAATAAATAAAAAATTAACAAAGTGAAAAAACCCATAGAAAATCAATACTAATAATAACAATAATGATAATGATTATTAAATAGTATTAATATATGATAAATGCACCATTAAACCAAAACTAAAAATTGCCCATATAAAGTGAGTCCTAAAGAATGTCTAGTGTAGGCAGAACAACATTAAAGTGCCTTTCCTGAAGAGGGAAAACGTACTTCTATTTCAAGACTATTCTCTGCTTCAACAATGGCAGCACCAATTGTCGCCCCAGAAGACAATCGTGCAACTTTTTTAGACCGACCATGGGGTACTGTACCATCAGATGTCCCAGACCGCTTATTCCAAGTGTCAGGGACTGGTTCACGCACGATGGAATTCTGATGTCCATTTTTTTTATATATTGAGCTTTTTGAACTGTGTTGTTGATATGGTGAAGGTGAAGGAGCCGAAGCAAGACGAGAACCGTGATACTGAGCAACAGGAACGAGAGATTCAGGTTTAAATTGAGGTTCTACATCATCCCCTCTTTTTGCTTGTGCCTTTCCACGCTTGATTCTTTCAGCTTGTCTCTGAATAATAATGAAAATATAATGATTACTATGGCATTGAATATGAATATTGTGGCACATTGTTATGAAATCATAATATGCGAAGCACAAGTAACGCCTTCCCCTCCGCCAAAATTCAGGCCAAAGAATTTTATTTTTCCTAGAACCATTCTCCAGCAGGTGAAAGTTGATCTAGGTCATATTTTGCAAATCTAGGTCATATTTCAGTGTTTCACCTCCACAAAAAGGGTGCAGTTTATTGATTAAAAAAAACAAAAAGTAAAAAATCCAAAATGAAATTACACTAGAGATAAGAATATGCAATTTCTCATTACTTCTTGTAGTGTATATCTATTTCCTACAAAATTTGAGGGATTCACTTTAGTCTATATTAGCAAAAATGCAGTACCATGTAGACAGAGGTAGAAAATTAGCAAATAGAAGACAATAAATAATGATAGTAATGCACTGATAATTATGAACAGAATAAATATATAACGCAGTGATATTGCCCAAGCTGTTGATGCTTCCACATTCTTTTGTAGCACTTGCAGAGCACCGTCACATGAAACAAGTGTGGAAGCAGCCAAAATAGCTGTCAGTAAGAAACCTTCCTACTAGGAAGGCTGGGAGAAGTATTCATAGTTCAATATAGAAATTGAAAATCATATTTCATTAAATCCAAGCAGAATTTGAAAATCATATTTCATTAAATCCAACCAATATATTATCTTACTCAAAGATGGCTCTTAAGGAAACCAACAAAATGAAGCCATCTCATAACAATACTATAGTTCAATATGTGGCTGCTAAGGCAGCGCAATGAACCCATCGTATAACAAAACTCACTTGAAGTTTCAGATATTCAACTGAACCATAACCAGGAAACAAATGTATATGCCATATTATGATAGATTAAATGATATAGAAGACCACATGGCATTAGGGAAAATTAAGAAACATGCATTCTAGAGAAGTTCAAAAAATTCATTAATTCAATAGAACCAAAGGACATACAGTGAATATATATAATGGAGGAAGACAACCACGTAGATGATGAAGCAAAACGAACCTGATGCAATCGACCTCTTTTCTGAAATATTTTGTCTTCGTAAGATCCCACAGCCTGAATGAAATGCTCAACCCTGCTCAGATTTGGCTGACAAATAGAAAGAGAAACAATAACAGAAAATAAGAACAACTCTTTGAAGGTATTCATAAAAGATGCCAAAACATATTGAATTAAATACCTTGCTGGAATCACTCAAGTATCCACCCAAAGCCTTAAATTCCTTCTTATATATAGCAAGCAGCAAGTTAATCGCACCCTGAAAACAAATCAGATTAGAAATAAATAAATATATAAATAAAATGAAAAATCATATTGATAAATTTCGAGTGTTTCTAGACAAAAGCATAAGAAGAAAGATATTTTGACGAGGAGGGCTGTTGAATTGGGTTTTCTTAGGGTTCAGGGTTGGAAGGAACTTGTCCAGTCAATTGGAGATCTCCCACTTCTTGTTCACGAATGATGCCCTTCTTTTCTGTGATGCTGATGAATTCAGGTAAGATACTTGAGATGTGTTTTGATCTGGTTCCAAGTTGTCTCCGGACTGAAAGTGATTGTGGGAAAGAGAGTTATGGTTCCGGTTGGGGAAGTTCAAGAGATTCCCCTTCTTGCTGATATTTCTTAATTTTACTGCCAAATCAAACGTATTTCAGACATCAAGTGACATAAGACAGAAAACAGCTAAACCAACCTCACGAATCTCCAGCGTGGGCATATGCGGTAAAAAATCGTTGCCGACAAAGAAGCACATGAAGATAAAGTCATCAACAATGCACTCAAAATCAATCTCAAACGGAGGGTTTGGAATTCTCATCTCATATTCCAAATACTCTCTAAGAGTCCAAATGTTGAGAAACTGCAAAATGTGCTCACATTAGCAAAGCAAGGTAACAAAGTAAAAGGCACTATCAAAAAAGAAATTACTGACTCTACCTATTACTGTTAGTATAGGGATCAAAGCAAACCTGGTAGGGCTTTTTAACCACATCACCACCACCTTTCTCATCAAAGTCCCCTGCCTTTCTCTTTGCCTTTCCTTCACAATTTGCCGCTAAATGACCCACTTGACCACATATGAAACATTTGTCTTGTTGTCCAGGGGTGAATACAACCTGGTAAGTAAAATTTGAAAGGCATGTCTGTTACTTCACTGAAATTGAAGAGATCAAAAACATAACTTAAATAAGCACTAAATTCCAATTCCTTAGTTTAAACAGACTGTCAATATTTTTATATGACTATAGCTGAAGAAGATGAAAAAAAAAAAGGTTTCTAGCATGTTCCTTATTCTTTCTGCAACAGTAAATTTGACATCTTTTGCAAGTCAAAAAAATCAATAAGCATAAAAGTCTAAAAATATTATATTTGAAGCAACACAAATTGTATGTATACAAACCTCCCTGAGTATTGAAAAATGAACCTCGTGGGTAGCCAAAGCCAACATGATTAGATCTGCATCCTGTTGCGTAGTGCCAGTTAAAAATCCAAAAATAACAGTCTACAAAAGTAACTAACAAAGCAGAGCAACCAGAAGTTCCTTTTATATACTCATGGGTGTTGTTGAAGAAGACATACCAGACCATAAAGGCAATGGCGCGTATTTGGATCATAAGCAGGAAGATTTCTTTGAAGACGAATATATGACATAATTTTATGTTCCCCTTCCCCGGGAGCATTTGCATCAGAAAGGATAACCTTCAAAAGAATAGAAAGAAAAGCAAAACTAAGGAAACTTTTTCTTGTTGCCATAACACATAAACACCAAAGAAGTACACCAATGTACTCTCAAGAGAAACAAAACAGAGATAATACCTTTATAGATTTCCACCCAGGGTCATTGTTTAATCTGAGATGGATATAATACTGAAGAGCAATTGACAAAACAGCCATAAATTCAGTTCCCGGAGTGATAACATTAGAATCACAAGTCTGTGATTCATTTTTCGGCGGAAGTTTTCTGCCTTCCCTCTCAAACTCCTCTCGTAACCTTTCTTCTTCAGCCGCCTTTGAAATGAAAGTCACCAATAAAAATTTCGTTATTATAGAATTTATGTAGAAGACCAAAAATGTATAGGAGGGGCACATACCGCATCTGCCGCATCTTTGGCTGCTCTAAAACGCCTAGACCGCTGCTGATTCATTTTAGCCCTTGGGGCAACACCATCTACCAGGTTTTTCCAGATAATCAGTATTATATAATGCAAATGAATTTTTATAAATTTTCAAGTTACAGTTGCGTAGATAATTCAACCTAATCACCCACCAATAGCCATGTACAGCAGCTTGCGGGGTCGCACCATTACAAAAAGTCTATCTATATAGTCAAACATGCACTGGAACACCTCATTAAAAGTGGTGGGAGAAGGCTGCATGGAACAAAATAAGAGTGTCAAGACATATTTGTCTAAAACACAAATAAATAAAGAACAAAATTGATAAGTATGTTTGTCTGAAATATAAAATTAAAAGCAGCATTCATGTGCATTGTCAGATATACATAACACAGAGATACAACAATTTGCATCATGAAAAATAATAACAATGATGATGATGATTATAAACGTTGAGCATAATAATTTCAAAAAATGGAAGTGAAAAGGCAAGCCGCATGAGTATAAGCTGTTATGGTCCCCAAACAAATAGGATAGTGCTAACTTTCCATTTTTTTCTTTCTTTTTTACTTTTCTTTTGCCCTTTTTTTTTTTTTTTTGGTTATTGTTGTTGTTGCGGCGGCGGCAGCGTGCGTGTGTCGTTGTTGTGCTGGTGTGGGGGGGTAGGAAAATGAACAGAAAATCTTTGAAGATAACAGAGATATATCGCTTTAGTAACTCTCCCTGTGGAAGTCATTGTCAAACTATACACCTTTCTTGACCTCTCTTTCCCTTTCTTTTTCTTTTTTTTTTTTTTCAAGTAAGAAGAGCACCTTCCTTAATCTTAGAGGTGACAAATAATACTTCAATGAGTTGATTAGTGCAGACCAGAAAAATCAGTGGGTTTAGGCGGGTTAATGTGGCCACATTCAGACTGCCTAAACACGTTAAGTAATCGCTGGCAAACAACAAACCCCAGTCTACCTGCAGTTGGACCCCTTTCTCTCTCAACACCACTATCGATGACACCTTATTCTACCTACTCTTTCTCTCTCTCTCTCTCTCTCTCACACACACACACAAACAAATACTTATGAATGAAAGTTTTTCCTTTTGTGGATTGATCTTCCTGGAAATATATAAGAAAACCTAGATCGGAAGGGTATATTCTTGTTCTGGTTTGCTCTCTTCGATTCCCCTTCTCCCCCACACAAATCCATAAATGAGAATGTTAAATATACAAGTAGTGTTCTCTTTTTTGTTGGGGTACGGGGAGAGATTGTTCTTCTACAGAGGAGATCACGGATTTTTTGGGTTCCTTAGGTTCATAGGTCTCCTCTTTCCTTGGTTTTTGATTGTTTTTTTTGTTTTGATTTTGGCTTTTGTACTATTATTGGGACGCGTTCCCCTTTTGAACACCTTTTAATACAATTTACTTATCAAAAAAAAAAGTATACAAGTCGTGTTGTCAATTTCCAAATCAAAACTTCTGTTGTAATGTATCAAATTGTCTTGAGTTGTTCGAGTACATTTGTTGAAGACGAAGCAGACACGGAATTGCAAAAAACACGGAGTGAAGTTCGCATCCTCAATCACATATCTAGGGCATAGGTAAATTGAGTATAGAAACACCTTATTTGACCTATGTTGATCTTGGTTAGGCTCACAAATTTATTTGCAATTTGTTTTAGAAAAATGGCTTTACAAAGTTAATGTTCTACACATTTTTCAAAACAATATTTTAACTGGACAGCAGTAATGCTTCGGCTGGTCAATCAATCAACAAGTGTCAAGTAGCCTGATCGACTGAGTTTTGGCTGAAACTTATTTTTGAAAACCAGTTGAAAGATCGATGGTAGTCGAGCAGTCTTTGATCAAAAGGTCAATCGATTCAACCTGTCATACATATTTTTGTAAACTCTCTCAAAACGCAAATTTACAGGAACTATCCGTCCTAAAACGAATGAGTTACCTCTATTGGCTATAAATAAGGGGATATAGTTAGTTAGGGATGATTTTGATGTCTAATCATATAGAGAAGAAAATTCTTGCAAGACAAGAATTCCCAAATTACTCTAGGGTTTCCTCAGACAACATCATATGTGATTGAGTGTTCATCCAGGAGGAATTCAACAATCTGATTCAAATCAACAAATCAGTTATGAGACCAAAAAGGGCGAACGATCGCTAGAGAAGCAAGTTTGTTGACGAGCAGATGATTGACTTGGATACTTGAAAGACTTCCAGCTCTAGTGAATCTCAAGATTAGAGGAGACGCCGATGATGATATTTGTTGTGTCTATGGAGAAGAGGGGGAGTCAATTGACTAGTAGCTAAACTAGTTTGGGAAAGCAAGTCAAATGAAAATTGGTTTTGGTGAGAGGTTTAGCACATGCCAATAGGAGAGTGGTCTTCCCTCCTAACCTCTTATATAGGTGGAGCATTCAAATAAACTTACTAACCTGGGAGCTTTCATCTGTTGGCAGATATGGACTAATAGGAATGACTGACACATCAACAAGAAGAGATGGGATCCGCAGGCAATGCTTGACAAGGTAATCCAGAATTTCAATGAATTTTGGGAGTTTTATAGTAAGGAGAATAGCTTGCATATGCAAAGCTCTCTTTCTTCCTCCTATTCTGATCTTTGGGTGCCTCCTAGTCTTTAAAGCTAGATGTTGATGCTTCAGATCGAGCTTAGAGGCTGGAGTGAGCTGGATTGATTCTCAAGGACAACCAAGTCAAACTCTTGCATCTTGCTACTTTCTTTTTCCAACAAGTGAGTAGTGCCATAGCGGGTGAGGCTGGCTATGGTTTTAAGAGGAAGCTTGAAAAAGCTGAGACAGTGGGGTTACCACGACGTCTTGGCGGAGGGGGATTGTCAATAAGTGATGTCCTTAAAGCCATTGGATGCCCTTGCAATGGTTGTTTGTGATGATATTCACATGTTAAGTTGCAATGGGCCCTCGGGGTTGCAATTCTATAGCTTATCAGCTTAGCAGATGGGCTTTGGGTAGGATAAGTGAAGATACTGAAATGGATGATTGGCCTTCATGGCTAAATGATTGTGTTTATTCAAATTGTACTGGTGCTGGTCTTCGCGAATAAAATTGCTCCTTTTTTTTTAAATAAGTAAATAAAATTGCTCCTTTTGATTGAAAAAAGAAAAAGATCAAACAAATGATACATTGTATTTCGAATGTTACAAATACTTAACTGAAACATAATGTTAGGCACAAACAAGCACATTATCATAGAGGTTGAAACCTCCCTCCTATGGTACGCCTAAATCTAAGGCCTCCCATCTGAAAGAGCACCATCAACCCAATTACGATAACTAAAGGCTAGCCACTCTGTCTAAAAGAAGAACACACCAATACCAAATAATGTATGTAAAAAAATTCTTCTTTTCTTCTTCAATTTTTTTTTTTATTATTTTTTATTTTTTATTTTTTTTTTGTATAAGTCAAATTATGTGTGTAACGATTTTAATCGGAGCTTACTGGAACCAACTTAAATGTTCTTGTCTCCTTCTACAATACTTTTGATGCCCTTCCACAATCAGCACCTTGCCTTTTTCAATAATTAACTATAGGTAAAATTAAAGTTTTGAAATTATGTCCCAAAGTTTGACATATATGAACATTGAAACTTTGAAATTCCAATAAGATATAAGCTCTCACACTGCAAATAATATACATGAACACAATTTCCCTAGAATTAGATATTCCGCTCTCTAGCAAATAGAAATTAAAATTGCTATTTAATCACTGCATCACTGCGTTTTTTTTTTTTTTTGTGACAAGTACTCTGCATCACTGTTTTAAGCAGCCATCTAAACCCAAGGCAATGCTTTCTACAGGTGAAATTTGGGGGGGGGGGGGGGGGGGGGGGGGGGGGGGAAGGATTGCGCCCATAAGAGCACCTCATTGTTGGCCACCAGAAGAACACAAATTCCCAGCTCCTATCTTCGATTGAACATGTGACTCATAAAAGCTTATGGTTTTAACAGAATTTTATGAAAGTGTGTGTACTGGGTGTTCAATCTTCATGTCAGCTTAAAAAAATGCAATTTTACTGGCAACTCTAAGGTGCTGTAGGTTCAATTACTGGTGATCAAACACGAATCTCTAATCCAACAACCGACTTGAAAATCACAACCACATGCAAAAACATTTAGTCATCCACAAAGATTCATCAAAAAAAATTCACCGGTTTCAAAAGTGACAAGCAATTATGAACAACAAAGAGCATCAATAACACAAAATCAAAATCAAACTCATAACAGGTACAATGAAAAACAGTGATTGAATCCGTACCCGGTCTTCGGGATGAAAACAAGGATGAATAATCCCATTCATGTCGAGATAGAGGTTGTCGAATTCGAGGTCGTTAGGGTTAGGTTTACTAGTATCGATCGGAATCGTAACGCCATCGATTTCAACCGGTTCTTCCTCAATAACATCCACCACCACCAACGGATACTTCTCAGCCAACCACCGGTAGAATGCCGGAACTCCCATCGCACTCCGCTCACTCCAAACTCAAACAAAACAACAGTTAACGCACAAATATATATATAGAGAGAAAGATAAAGATGGATACTCCAAACGAAACAAGAATAGATTAATACATAAAAATAGAGAGAGACAGACAGATTGAGAAAGTAGAAAAAGGCCCAAGTCCTAAGCCCTAAACTGAGAACTCAGAGAGATAGACGTAGAGAGAATATGCGAAATCCGAACACATGGATTTGCTTGTGAGTTCGCGGTATAACAGGCTCGTGACGCAAATTAGGGCACCAAATAAATGATGGGACAGATATGTCCCTGCAGCGAATTACTATTAACTCCATGTTTTTTTTTTTTTTTTTGTTTGGGTCGAATTGATTTCAATATGATAAATAAGTACGAGTACTGTTTATAAAAAATAAAAAATAAAACATAAAAAATAAAGCCATTTAAGCTTAAACAACTCATATTTTCATTTATATCCTTCTGAAGTTAAAATATACAATCTAAACAAATAAATAATATTTTATTATCTTTTTACGGAATCTTGTACGTAATTCTTTTTTATTAAAATCCCTGTGTCTACACAATATTTTTTTAATTGAATCTATAATAATTAAATTTATATTTAAATTCAAAATGCATTTGCAAAAATTTTACTTCAATTTAGTAAGATATAAGTGCTATTCAATTTGTAAATTTTTTTCAATAATATACAAGTTTTTTTTTTTTTTAGCCCATTCATGAACACATATTCTTGATCATGTTCATAAGCCTAACGAAACGAACATGGGTTGTTTGAACCTAGCTTATTTTTTAAATAAGTTTCAAGTTTGGTCCATTTGCTTAGTTAAAAAATGATTTTCCCTTGGACCAAGCTTTAATCAAGTCGAGCTTGGACGATTCATGAATAAGTCGGTTCATTTGCAACCCTAAATATAAATCAATTCATATATTTTGGAATTTCAATTGTGAAATAAAAAAAGGGTGAGTATAATATTAATTTAACCAATAAAAAGGAAATGAAGGATATTAGTCTTTTATTTGGAAAAGATGGAGCGGGAAAAATGAGAAAAACTTATTTTTGTCTATTTGCATAAAGGTCAAATTATTCATTTAAAAAATATATATGTAGGAGCAAATTGGACCCACCCGCACAATGCCACATAGCCATCAATCCCTCCCCCATGTGATGGGGCTACTGCGAATCGTATCCATTATCCCAATCTTTGATACAACTTACTAGATCGAGTTGTGTCATCTCATCTGAAAACCAATTGATGTCTAGTAAGGGAAGGACACGACACGCCTTTTATGGCATTTGACACCTAGACCCACTCGTGTAATGAGCGGTTTTGCATATGAGTTTTATAGGGCATGTGAGCGACGTCAGCAATTAGGATCGATGTCCCGATGAAACATGATGTCTCTAACCCCCATATTGATTGTTGAGATATTTGATGTTTAGGGGATGGACTTCATGGGTCCTTTTTTAGTCTCGTTTGGTTTTGAGTACATTCTTGTGGTGGTAGACTATGTTTCTAAATGGGTTGAGGCGGTGGCTACTAAAACCAACGATCAGCAAGTTGTAGTTAAGTTAATTCAAACAAACGTATTTAGCCAGTTTGGTATGCCTAAAGCTATTATAAGTTATGGGGTTCAATGGTCAAGTTAGGTGTCAAATAGAGAGATTAAGCATATTCTCGAGAAAACGGTTAGGCCGAATCACAAAGATTTGTCATTACGATTGAATGATGACTTTTGGGCCTACCGAACCGCTTACAAGATTCCTATTAACATGTCACCTTATTGTCTTGTCTGTGGTAAACTTGTCATCTTCCAGTAGAGTTAAAGCACAAGACCCTTTGGGGTATCAAAATGTTCAATTTTTACATGAAATTGGTTGGCTCTACTAGGAAGTTGCAACTAAATGAGCTTGAAGAATTGCGCAATGATGCTTATGAGAGTGCCAAAATCTATAAGGCCAAAACCAAAGCATTCCATGATCGTCACATATTGCGTAAGACTTTTGAGTCAGACAAAAAGTATGGTTATTCAATGTAATGACCCGGTCATTTTCCTTCTTTTCATTTTTCAGAAATTTATTTTTTCGTCTTTTTTCCTATTTCGTCCTTTTGTCATTTTTCATTTTTCATTGCATAACTTCACTTTTTGCATTCGGATTTGATTCCGGCTCTGCATACATCCATGATATTTAAATTCTATGATATCTACATTTTCACTTTTGTAGAAAAAGCATGATAAATGTTTACTTTTCTTATAAAGGGCATGAATATATAACTTTTGGTAATTACTCTAAATTTGAAGGGTTTTTGTGTAATTAAATAAAATAATTATTTTTCGTCTTAGGAACAATTTTGTAATTTAATTTGGAAGATATTTTCAAAAAGGACCTTTTTGTAATTTTCAGAAAATGTGACAAGTATCACATTCATAAGGTGCCACTTGTTAGTTTTGTAGTGGAACCACTTGGAGGCTTAATCTCATGACACATGGAGGATGGAGATTTACCCATTTGTTGGCCTAAGATAGGAGCACTTGTTGGTATGGATGGTTGATAAGTGTAGGCTTGATTTTTAATCTTGGAAGCTTACTTAGATTCATGACAAGTGTAGGACTCACCTTTAGTCTTGCAAGTGTGTGTGTGTGAGAGGTAGTGCAAGAGCACCTAGTGAGTGGAGAATCCTACCACTTTAACTTAGGGTTCCATCTCATTTTACTCATTTCATCTATTTCCTCTCAAGAACCCTGACCTAGCCACCATTAGAGAAAAGCTTGACTATTAGCTTTGACTTCATTTTTGGTGCCCTACCACTCACCTTAGACCTATAAACTTGGAACACTTTAGATTCCTCTCACCCTCCTCTATAAAACCCTTATTTAATTTTCCATTTTTAAGCTTGGTTGCCTTGGATTATATAGATTCTATTCTCTATTGAGGTAGGGGGTGTACTAATTTATTTTTCTGAGTGAATAAATTGATCTTGTAATGATATACAAGTTGTATGCATGTTCTATGTTAAATTAAGAATAAATGACTAATGGTAGCTTGCATAGAATTCACTTTAGACTTGATCTATGGCATGGCCATGACTTGATATTTGTTGTGTACTAATTTGGCATGATTTAAATGAGCTTTTAAATTTAGAGAATTAATTAATTTAATTGATTTAAATTCTACTTAATTGTACCATGCTTAAATTCCATTTTTTGACTTGATATATAGCATGTCCATGAGTTACTCCTTGTTATATATTTAATTGGAATCATTTGGGCAACTCTTGAAATTTAAAGAAATTACTTAATTAGTTTAATTAATTTATATCTTATTTTTCTAATGATTTAGTCATTCAATTCATGAAAATTATTGTGTTTTATCACATATCATGACTTGTTGCTCAACTTGTTGATTTTGAAAACTTGGGAAATTATCAAGAACTTGACTTGGCTAGGACTTAGTTCTAGTACGGGAGATAGAGAGCTCCCTACACTATAGTGCGCACTAGGGGAAGGTACCAATGGGTAATAGCCCTAAAGTGATCCCAAGAGTACGGTTTTAATCCGGGCAATATCCAAGTATCCACTTTGGTTTGATTTCGCATTTAAATTCCAAGTTGTTAACTTTGTGAATTTGCATCTCATTATGCTATGTTAAAAGTTTCAATGTCACTTTAATAGCATGGATTGAATTATATTAAATTGCAAACCTTACAATAAGTTGAACTTATGCATGCTCATTCCCTACGAGTAAACTTGTTTACTCACCCCGAAATTACCGGGTGTTTTTCAGGTAAAGAAGCAATATTGTGGGATGCACAACAATCTTAGACTTGCTAGACTACTTGGAGTACTTTTGCTATGTTAGAATATGCACTTGTTAGCATATCACACTTCATTTTGTTTATTACGACAAAATATGTATTCATCGTTCAAACCATGTAATCTGCACTTAAGTGCATCTTTTGATACTCTTTGGATGTGTGTGTAACAAGGTCAAGAGTCAAACATGTTTAATTTAGTATTTGTAGTCATTTGGTACCATCTTTTGCTTTAAGAATGTATTTTAACAAACTTTGGAGGTTTAGTATGTGAGATTCTTGTCAATGATGTGTATGAGGCCACGAGCCATTGTTTTACATTCAATTATGCATATTAAAGTTGTTGACATGTTCACACACTCAAAACTCCTTGAAAATCAGTTTTAAACTTTCATTTTTGAACCAAATCATCATAGAATTCAAAGTATGGGTTGAACCTTAATGCCTTTGGCAAATAGCAGGCCTTATAGCAGCTTTTCGAGGTGTTTCGGTCGACCGAAACTCCATTTCGGTCGACCAATGGCTTTAGGAAGCATCAATGCACAGTAAAAACTCATTTCCAGTAGACTTTTTCACTGTTCAAGGTCATTTCGGTCTACTGAAACTCCCTCCTCTTAAAAATACATGTTTTTAGTAAGTTTGTGTCCAGTTCGGTCAACTGAAACTCCAGTTCGGTCGACCGAAACTCCCCTTATACACCTGTTTTCCAGATTAGGTTTCAGCACTGAAGTTCCAACTTCAAACAGTCATATCTCCTTCATTTCTAACCCAAATGGGGTGATTATTGAGCCTAAACTCAAGGATTTTGAGTCAGCTTTCCAATGGTACCTATGACATTCTCAGATTTAAATCACAGTGAGAGTTATTCATATTTTAGTGAGATAAAGTCAGTTTTTGCTTAAACCGGGAAAGGGCATTTTTGGGAAATTCTTGGCCAAAGTTCTTAGAACCTCTTGGAATGTTGTGAAACGATTAAATTAGGTTGTATTCACCTTGTTTGACTTGTTTAGAGTCAATTTTCTTCATTTAATTGTGAATTGACGATTTTACCCTTAATTGATGGATTTAGCCCGTTTTGACTATCATTTCCTCTTTTGCTCACTATAACTTCCGTGACTTCATAGAAGGTCACATTAGTGCCTTAGGGATGACTTCTATCTCTAGAGACTTTAGTTCATCATTCACTTCTGCATTTAGGATACGTTTTTGGGTTGACTTTCGGGACATCACTGACACACCGGGTTGAATAAAACTCGGGTCACGACATTCAATTCCAAACTTTGACTATTTCTCGGTTAGCTCCATTCATGATGGGATGGTCTATACATAGTTACGTTCGTTGCTCCCTATGGAGCGATAGAATTGACAGATCCTAAGGATGGAAAGTTTCTGAAGGTCAATGGTCAAATATTGAAA